TCTTGGCTAAGGGTCGAGACTTCAGGGCTAGAGTTAGAGTCTTAGGGTTAGATTTTTACGGTTAGGGCTACGGTTTTAGGGTCTGGGTTAAGACTACGGTTGCGTTCGAGTATTCAGGCCTAAGGACTAAGAGTTAGGGTTACACATCACAGGTACGACCAGGGTTAGTTACAGTTTTTACAGAAGGATTATGCAACATACACCTGCCTGTAGTTCGTCTGCTTTCGTAGTGTGAAAGGTTGCTTGCATGCAATGGAGCGATATCGGTCCTAACGTCATCTCTTACAACAACATCTAAATTGATGACCAAATAGATGAATAATTTGCATATTTACACAGTCTCTTATATCCCAGTGTCAGAACGTCACCATATCTTAAAGGCCATCGTTTTTGTTTGTGTCTTCGGCTTCAGGAGTTTTGGAATGTTATCTGCTTTTAAACGGTCACTCAGTGGCGTTATTTTTCAGTGAAGCTCGCCAAGTCTTCATATTTTATCGCATAAGTGTTGCTGTTTTTGTTAGGAAATTCGTTTTCAGGCAGGACGTTGAAGAACGCTAAGTACCTCATACACAATGTACGTGCTAACCGTCAAGTCATTTACATTCTCGTGCAGTAAGTTGAGGAATAAACCGGAGTCTGGTAATTAAATGAAACCCGGCAATGGCCTTTCGGTAACGATAGGGCAAAGGATCCAAAAGTAAATGGCAACTACAAAAATACTGTAAATTTCAGCAGTATGTTATTACCGACAAAGACATGGGAGACTGAAATGGCTATTTCTAGCTTATTAACCGTCGTTAACCAGTCATACCCAACCCCGAAGTGCGAAACGCCCGAGGCTCGAACTCGCGACCTGTTATTTAGAAGTCCGCGCCTCAAACCACTGGGCCACGAGCCCGCTGCCCTGTCGGTTTTCGATCGGGAATATACAGTGGTAGGGGGCGCCCACCACATTATAAAATTCAGCGTGACTGTAAATATCACTTATTATTCACCGCTTCCATTGTTTGAAGTTTTCATCCCTTCCTGACTAAATGTAGACCTACCAGCGGCGCTTTATTCAAAGTCCGTTATTTTTCGGAAACTGCATTTTGTTTATTTTTTGATTATCGCGCACACTTTCCTTGCCAAATGACACCGTCCAGTAGGACTTTCGGCAGGAATTTATCTATTTTCTGTGCCTTTTTGCTCTTCATCCCATGTGTTGCCCCACCCGTGAAATCCCCTCTACCACCATTTACCGTATGACACTGTCCACACGCTAGTTCATGATAGTTGTGGGTCCTACAGCCTCTCGTTATCCAGATATCTCGTGGTGGAGAGTTAATTTGATAGACAAGATGATTTATGCTTAACATGCTCACTGGAAAACCATGTGGATAACTGTTTTCCATCAGTATATTCTGTCTTTCATAGTAGGAAGGTTGCTCACTGACCCAGTTTCGCGACGTGCTTGTCCTGTTTTGCGCTGGGGTTAAATGTAGAGACCTCGCTGACAGTCACCTAGCAACTAGGTGTGCATGCTGAAAGGAGCGCCGACAACGACAAGGGAGATAAAGATGACCACTTATGGTTCGTTCGCTTAGATGACCAAAGGATCCGTGTTCGAATCCCAGGCCACTTCGACCCGGGGTTGGTACGGATGGCCGACGAAGGCTAGTAAACCAGAGATGGCCATCCAAGTCTCCCCTTAGACTTGTTCGTACCTCCCCGGCCACCTACTGACTGCGATTTTCTGGCTTCCCAGGATACGCCGTGGATGGAGTCAGCAACGGCTGCGCGGGCTCTTGCGCAGATGCCTGTTCAGATTGCTTTTTACTTGGTCCACTCAGCTTCAGATGTGTGGACTGTGTCGCTGGACACCACCGATAAGGTTTTATCGATCACCTGTACGCGTGTCAGGCCGCCTTCTATATTATATATTCAGCCAGAGTTCATTAAAATGTTCACAGTTTGCCCCAAAAATCTGGGACTTAATAAAATCGAGCTGTCCGGCACAACTTGCAGCCTTTCTCTTCCCAGCCCTGTATGTCGAGCGGAATGTCTTACTCGGAATTTTCCAAAAAGTAACATAAGGAAGTTGGCAAATGTTTACCTTCTGTGTCTCCCTCCGTTGAGTATTGTTCGAGGTATTCATATGTGTTTGATTGTCTCAGAAATGCAGGTTAGCAAACGTATAAGATCTTGGTTGACAATCTAAGGAATATGCTGGGTTCACCAGCTCATTGGAATTGAGTGACTGACGTTTCGGAGGGCTTGATCGGCTCTGAATTTACAAAGGGTTTTGTGTAAATAATTGACCGGAATTTCGAATAAACAGCCGAATTATTTGGCCTTGGGCCGATCGATTTTTTCATCTTTCGCTGTCTTGGCCTTTTAACTGCTGTCTGAGAATATCAGCGGCCTTCTGCGTCGCGTGTTGTCACTTTAATGGGGTCGGTTGCACCTGTGGTCCCCTTTTAAATGAATTAGTCGACGGGCCGTGTTTGCTCGGTATTTTTGAGCTGCATGTGCAAGTCTTGTCCCGGCAAGGGCATATGTAGTGACGTAGGATTTTATAGGCGGAAGGGAGGTCTAGATACCCGTTGATGGAACAGGTATCTGGGCACCAAGCCTTAACTGTGGGACGTTCTGTCCTTGAGGTGCCCCCGCTTAGGACGGTTGTTCCTCCGAAGTCCCTATTGTGGCCATTTTCTCTAATGTGAATCGCAAGCTGGGAGTTCAGGTCTAGTCTCCGAGTCGCCGGTTTGTGCTCGTGTACGAGGGTCTGCAATGTCCGTCCGGTTTTCCTCGTCACAACATATTTGATAGACAACTGCTGAGGTTTTAGTGGGTGGCAGTGTGTCTTTGGGTTGCATCAAACGGCGACGAATTGTTGCATGGGGTCGATGGGTAATGCCTACTCCGGCGGGTTGTTGCAGTCGTGAAACCGCCTCAGCGACTTTTTTAATGCAAGGAATAGCCCTTCAGACTTCGGGCTGCTCTCTTTGTGGTCGTCGTCTCAGAAACCTTAACAACACCGCTAGCTACTCTACCAAACATTGCAGTACAAGGAGCAAACTTCCGTAACTATCTTCACGACTCCTAAGAAAGCACAATTTTGACGCCCCATATCCATCAGTCTCGGGTTTTAGAGTTGCCAGCTAAATTCAATCATTTGTTCGACCAAATCTGTGATTTTAACTTGTCGGACTT